AGCTTGAAGTCCGAAATGCCACAGAAAATTTTAACAAGTTTTGGATTGAGAGATGGCGGAACTACGTGGCCACCTGTGATGTGGTGGACCTCACTGCCACTTTAGTGAGTCAAACGGGGAGGGCCTTTGGGGTGGCTCTAGAATGTCAGGAAGTTTTGTCTGACATTTAAAGGAGAAACATGGCTTCGTGCGAGAAACCGGAGGCTGCTGAGTTCGAAATAAAGAGGGTGAGGGCAGAAGTCGACCAAAAAAATACGACGAGGCTAAGTTAGCATCTGCCTTGGCCGAAATCAAGGCCCTTAAGAAGTAGGTGCATAAGTCTCAATGTGAGGTGGCCTCTCTCACTAAGAAGGTTGAGACCTCCGACGCCCTCCAAAGCTAACTGCCGAAGCCCTGGAGAAGGTAAACTTGGAGCTTACTGGTTACAGAGATGGAAATAAATTCATGGAAGAACAAATTCGGTACTATGCTAAGGAGGTAAAGATCTTTGAGGCTGAGGCTCAACAGGCTGGAGAGGTGGTGGTGATGAAGAACTACATTGCCAACTTTCACTTGACTGAGGAGTATCAACACTTCGCTATCTACTGGAGAAGGTATGCTTACAATGAAATGGTGAGCAGGGTCGAGGAGCGTTATCCCAAACTCGATATTTCTGAACTCAGGGCAGAATTTATTGAAGAAGAAATGCCCCAGACCCCGGCAGAAGAAGCTGCTGAAGAAGTCCCTGTTGAATGAGCTTCGGAAGAAGTGGCAACTGATGCACCTGCCATTGATGCACAAGCCCCTCCACCTCCTCAGCAATAGTTTTAGATTTAGCAAACTTTTGTAACGCCTTTGGCCTCCCAATGTACATGCTTATATTGTTAATGAATGAAGTTTTCGGACTTATTGTTTACAACTTTATCATTTTTGCTCGAAGTAAATGGGCTTTCATAATGCAATAGCTATGTTGAATTGCTTAGACAAACTATAGTCTAAACCTCATCTGTACTAAACTGAACTTAAATGACTGAACTGAAACTGACCTGAACTCAATTAAATAATCACTGGACTTGGAACCTTTATTTTGAATGAACAAGTTAATACCCAATTTGGTTTAACTTTGAATTATAAGTAAACTGACACATTTAAATAACCGTGCTGAAGCTACTCCTTTGACGTTCAGCCATGTCAAAGGGAGGTATATGATGTATGCCTCGAAGTTCTAACAAGGTGGCTCCTTTAGGGACTGGATCCTCTCATCCGAGGTGCCCACGCTTTCTTGTATGGAGGATGATTCATCCATGCAAGGGCTTCTCTTTTTTACGTTCAGTCTCGTCAAAGGGAGGCATGTGATGTACGTCTCGGAGTTCTAACGAGGTGGTCCCTTTAGGGATTGAATCCTCGCCTCCAAGGTGTCCACGCTTCCTTGCGTGGAGGATGATTCATCCATGCAAGGGCTTCTCACTTTGACGTTCAGCCTCGTCAAATGGAGGCATGTGACGTACGCCTTGGAGTTCTAACGAGGTCGTCCCAAGGGATTGGATCCTCTCCTCCGAGGTACCCACGCTTCCTTACATGGAGGATGGTTCATCCATGTAAAGGCTTCTCCCTTGACGTTCAGCCTCGTCAAAGGGAGACATGTGATGTACGTCTCTGAGTTCAAACGAGGTGGTCCTTTTTCCTAGTTGTCCACACTTCCTTGCATGGAGAATTTTTTATCCATGCAAGGGCTTCTCTCTTTGATGTTCAACCCATCAAAGGGAGGCGTGTGAAGTATGCTTCGGAGTTCTAACGATGTGGTCCCTTTAGGGACTGGATCATTTTCTCCGAGGTGCCCACGCTTCCTTGCTTGGAGGATGATTCATCCATGCAAGGGCTTTTCTCTTTGACATTTGGCCTTGTCACAGGGAGGCATGTGATATACGCCTCAGAGTTCTAACGAGGTAGTCCCTTTAGAGACTGGATCCTCTCATCCGAGGTGTCCACGCTCCTTGCATGGAGAATGATTCATCCATGCTAGGGCTTCTCTCTTTGACGTTCAGCCTCGTCAAAGGGAGACATATAATGTAAAACTCGGAGTTCAAACGAGGTGGTCCATTCAGGGACTGGATCATCTCCTCTAAAGTGCCTATGCTTTATCTTAAACAAAGATTTTATTTATTTACAAAGGCTGGGAAATTTTCCAACGATAAGCTACACTTATTGATAATACATTCTTAAATACTCGTTATTCCATGGGTGAGACTGGACCCTTCCATCCATGTCTTTGATCCAGTAGGTACCGGGTCGGATCTCTGTTTTGATGCTGTAGGGCAACTCCCAATTTGGTCCTAGGGTGCCTACTCCTTGTTCCTTAGAGGACAAGAAGACTCTCTGAAGCACCAAATCGTTTACCCGAAAGGATCTCTTCTTCACAATGGTGTTATAGTACCTGGTCATCTTCCTTTGGTAGGCTGGCAGTTTCAACTAAGAGTCATCCATCTTTTCCTCTAGGAAAGCAAGCTCACATCTCCTGAGTTCGTCGTTTGATATCTCATTGAAGCTCAACCTTCGAAGGGAAGACAATCCCACTTCTACGGGGCTCATTACCCCGGCACCGTAAGTCATTGAGAAATGAGTCTCACCAGTTGGGATCTACTTGTAGTTCGGATTACCCATGGCACTTGGGGTAACTTATCTACCCAAGTCCCTTTGACTGTGTCAAGCTTTCTCTTCAGAGTGTGTTTGATGGTTTTGTTTATAGCTTCAACTTGCCCATTAGCCTGGGGATGATGAGGAGTAGAGAAATGCTTCCTAATCCCAAGTTCTTCACAAAGGTC